AAATAAATGATAAATCCAAAGCACCTCTGTCTCTAAGAATGTTTACAGCTATCTTCTGGTCATGACCCACCAATGAGACTAAACCTGCAGATACGTATGGTCTATACCCTGGGTCAGTGAACTGGAAATCCAGTGGATTTCTTTGAATAATCCCAGGAGTAATCGCAGACCTAGTGTGAACCTGCACAGCAGCTATTACCTTATTCCTTTCAATGGGGGCAGCCAAAACTGCAAAGGCAATGTTTCACTGAACGAGTTCCCTGTGCAGATTTAGCCTCAGCCTGCAACAAAGGGCACTCATTTTCCCAGTGCCCTTCACCTAAACAGTAATTGCATGTCCTACTTTAGTTTCAATTTGCGCTGGTAGAGTCTTGTTTAGTAATTGCATTCTGTTGGCCCTTTCTCCCAACTAACAAGACAATCTCCCTGCTTCCAACCACAACCTCCTTTGATTGTCAAAGTAAACTCATCTGCCAACACTGCAGCATCAGAAGCATTTTTCACTTTCTCCTCATTCAAGTATGTAGCTACTCGTTTAATAATAATAATGGATACTTTATTGATCCCCATGGGGAAATTACTTGTTTTTCTCTGCATTTGACCCATTCACTCAGTGAAGCAGTGGGCAGCCCACTAAGCAGGCGCCTGGGGAGCAGTGTGTAGGGACGGTACCTTGCTCAGGGGTACCTCAGGGTAGCCGTTAAGTGGATTCGAACCGCTGACCTTCCGATCATGGGGCGACCACTTTACCTACTGAGCTATCCCTGCCCCTAGGGGGCAGTTATGGTCCACTTAGGAAGAGTGGACCATAACTGCCCAGCAAAACAAGCTCCCCCAACTGTTCAAATGTACTTACTCCAGAGGCAGACCACTGTCGTATCTTAGCCAACCTCTCAAAATGCAATAAATAAATAAATATTGTCATAAGCTAGTAGAGACATCAAAAAGTTCTCTGAAGTCTGGTGAGCTAGTCTGACAAGAATCAGGAAGCTGACCCTTAACCAGGTTTAGTCTATCATGCTCTAAAGTTAGTGAGAGGCACACAGCAAGCTAGAGTTCAGAGTTTGGTCTTGAGCTTGTTTTTGTCCTACAGCACAGTGTGAACAGTACTTTTTGGGGTGCACCATGATGAAAGAGCAAACCTGGCATGCCTAAGCTGAAAAAGCTTTGCCTAGTGAGGCCAAAGCTTGGACTGTCCTGCAGTGTGCTTTATACAGAGTGATGCAACTTGGGTAGTGTTGTTTCTGTGTGATTTCTACTGATGACTGGAAAAATCTCATACTTGGGCTCTGACGTAGATGCTGCACCTCTCCTCTCTGGTGCACCTTGAGATGTTTTATCAAACAACCTGAATGAAAAAGAGCCATAACCTATTTTTTACTCCCAAGCTTGGCATTTAAGCAGATTGCTGTTTGCTATCTGTCTTTCGTCTTCATCTCTTACTAAAAAAAATTCCCCAAAGGAACCTTGTCAGGATGTTAAAAAAACCCAAACATTATCTCCATGGCACCAATGGTGCCATGACACAGAACAATATATTGAACACAATCAACTTTACTGAAAAGAGGCAAGGGCAAGTTATTCCAGGGGTAGAAGATGAGGATCGGTCTGGGTGGAACACTCTAGGTCTCAGAAGTGGTATTTACCAGATGTCATCATGTGGTCACATGTAGGAAATAAAACCACAAAGGTGGAACTAATAGTAAAACAGAAGGTGGGATATTAGGAAAAAACAATCTAGTATCAGCAAATGGTCCAGCATTACATGACTGCTTACAATGGAAGTGGCCCAGCTCAACCATTCTGGAATCTCCAGATAACATTAGGCTTAAGGGTTCCCAAGAGAAGAACTCATTTAGGAAAGTGGTGGAAAGAGCTTCCTGGTGGCTGTGGCCTAGGAGAGATGTCAAGGCCTGGAAACTGTATGGAGATGAGTAGTGTTCATTGCTGAACAGCCAACTCATGACCTCAGTGGCCACATTTACTGAAAATGGTTGTGATATGCCTTCTCTTATGTAAATAAAAATGTCAGTAATTGAAATTGAAATGTCCTTTGGTAACATGGTAATTTTGCATTGTTCCCTCTTTTGCTGCCACTGCTCCTTCCTTGGACGACTTTTGATAGATACTAACCACCGTATCCCACAAAAGCCGGAGCTTTGGAGATGTTCTGCCCCGTCTTCTATCACAGCTTGGCTCCTGTCAAACCAGGTCAAATCTTTACACCAGCCCATTTTTCCTGCTTCTAACACGTCAACTTTGAGGATAAAATGTTCACTTGCTCCCTGATATATCCCACGCACTAACAGGTGCCACAGTGAAAAGATAATCAGTGTTATTCACTTCACCTGTCAGTGCTCAGAATGTTGTGCCTGATCGGCATCCATAGATGAATACGTTCAAATGCACAACAGTTACTGAATGGAATTTTTAAAGCATTTGTTCTTTCTGAACATGACAATAATCTGACACTGGAGAAAAGAAGCGTGCCCAAAAACAAGAACAGATTTTAGCAACGAGAGAGCAAGTTGGACGGGGGAGAGAGAAGAATAGAATAGAATAGAATAATCCTTTAATTGTCCCACAAGGGGAAATTTGGGTGTAACAGCAGCGATAAAGACACATAAACAAACAAACAGTACACAAGACACAGAACAGAAACATACACAATTTTTACATATTTACATCAAGGACAGTGGTTACCAAAAACAGAGTACTGTACCGTTATTAAATTAAATACAGATAAGAGGCAAACCCAGGTTGTAGTGTGAATCGGTTGATAAAATAGTGCCAAGTTGTGAGGAGAAATTCTTTTCAAAAGATATAATAAACATAACTTGTGCTCGTATTGCCTTGAATGTGTGAGACATGATCATAAACCTGTGTGGCAAAAAATAAATAAGTAAATAAAAAGAATTGAGTGAGAGAGACAGAGAGAGTCCCGTCAAAGTCAGCAAGTTGTTTTCAGCTTTCAGATGTTCAGCTGTGTGGGTGCAGGTTGTGTGCTGCTGAAAAAGACACATTGGTTTCTAGGTAACAGGCAGGAGAAGACAGTCTACCTTCATTTTCTTTGCTTCTTTTTAGCCGAGAGGGAACAACATTTTCGCTGCTCTGCCCTTAGCCCATCTCTTTGTAGATGCAAGGCTAATGAGTTATTCTTTTTCTTTTCTACACACGGCAAACTCCACAAGAATCGCAGTAAAGTACCGACTTGGATGTTTCTTTAATTTTAAATCAGATTGGTTGTTTTCATTTTGTTTCCAGGCTTAATACTATTCAATACTAGTATCTGACTAGTTAATTAATATAGAGCTACATATCCAGCATATGGAACATACAGCCATGAAATTTGTCCATACTTAACCTTAACCCACAGGTTATTATGGCTTTAAGCAAAGGGTAGGCAGTAGGCATCCATCCATCCATCCATCCATCCAGCCACTTCTGTTTCCCCAGTTCAAGGTCATGGGGTGAATTGAGCCTATCTCAGCTGTAATATGGAGCGAGACAGACATAGTAATATAATAAGAATATGGTAATTACTAGGGTAATCTTTGTGTGTGATCTAAAATGAGTTGATGATCTGTAAGTGTGGCAAATTTGCAAAAAAGAATTCAGAAGGGAGCAAATATTTTACACTGCACTGATGGGTAAAGTGCAGAAATAAAGTACTATTTGAAAAGCTTGAGTGGTCATAAGTAAATGACAGTTTTCGCAAAGGTGGGCTTACCTACCTTGACATGACCCTTGCCAATGTCAAACTTTAGGTGAGCATCATAGATGTGAATGGTGGATCTGACTGCAAATCTAAAGGACTTTGTGGTAGCAACTTGTCACTCAGAAAGCAGCACCCAATAGACACAGTGCTTTTCTCTAAGCCGTAAATGGTAAGGTGAACATCGAGCTTTACTGAGATTTGAAATTCACAATTGAGACTACAGCAGAGGGCCAGAGACATGAGTGCGAGTTTAAGGCAATTCATTAGTAACTTCACTTTGAAGAGTGAGATGATGATGACCATTTATTGTTCCAGAAAAAACTGTTTGATGAAGATTTGATCCATTACTGTAGGAGGAATATTGAGTGAACTGCATGTCAAGCAAAAGGCTTGTTTTACAATTTTGAATAGCGTCTTTCATACACATATAAACCTCATCTTATCGATTCTCTTATCGACTTTCATTAGGTTCTCAGTGGCTGCACTTTGAGAGTGGCCACCATCGTTAAGCAGCATATCAAAGACATGACATTCATGTATTCGTTCTTGTTGTGCATGCTGTGTGGTCAAATGTTTCTGCATGTTCAAGGTATTTCAGCTGTTTGTTATGATCAGTGTTGGCGTTATTGCTCAAACAAGTAATGTAGTGCACATATTACCCGGAACACTTAAGTGATGCAGTTGTTACAAAACAACCTGAAACGCATAATTGTCAGCTAACAATATAAACCTATAGACTACAGTTCCACACACTCCCCTGGTACATTTCCTACAATGAGCAGACTATTGCACAAGTTCAGATAGAACCGATAGGCAAGCAGAACAACAATTTCAAGGAACTAAAGTACTAGGAGCTGGTCCTTTACAAGAACCGGTTCTCTATTCCCATGCCTCATAAAGCTGATAAAAAGTCCAGGTTTGTGAAAGTCATTACAAATCATCCTGAGAGTGTAGATTTGCCAAATTTCATTATAGTTCAGGCACTAAGACAATTTTGTGCCAACCCACCCATGGGATGTCTGATTGGACTTTGGTGGTACTATTAGTAAGGTTGTGTTTTCTGGAGTTATATAATTTATGTTTTACTCCAGTCTTATCTGATCTTAATCTGCAAAAACCACAAAGATCAGGTGGTGTTACTACAGGAAAAACAATGCTGATCATCAGAGTTAGTGGGTTTTATCTTCATGCAACATGCTTGTTTGTAAAACATTTAATAACAAAACAATTAAGACATAAATAATGTGACCTCACCATCTCCCTCTTATTTTCCTTTCCTCAGATTGTTACGGATTTTGTCTTCTTATGTCCATCGAGGAGGTCAGCATGTGCTGGCACAGCAGCGGGGAGCAAGTTCTGGATGTATGTTTTTGACCATGTGATCTCGGACCGCAGTGTCTGGTCAGGTCTCACTTTCTGCTATGAGCATTCCTGTCATGGTGCAGAGCTGCCCTTTCTTTTTCATTCAGCCTCTGTGGCCAACTTCACCCTGTCACCGTCGGAGAAGCTGCTGTCCAATCGAATGCTGTGCTACTGGGGTGCCTTCGCTCACACCGGCGACCCTTCCTCCAGGAGCCAACAGACAACTTTCTGCCGGGAGCAGCGTCTGCCTATTTGGCCGCGCTATTCTGACACCAGTGGCTTTCTGGTCATGAACCTCACTGTGCGTTCCCATACGCAAGCCGGAACCAGAAACCATATATGTGATTTCTGGGACCAGCTGGGCATCTACTAGAGAGGGAACAGGCTGGGCATGCTGTTCTTTTGTTGAAACTAGAGTCAAAAGAATGGCTCTTTTCCCTGCATTGTTTTGTTTCTAAAAGTAGGATGTGTAGATGTCTGCTCTAGCTTTGCTCTAGAGTTAGTTAGTTAGTTAGTTGATGGAGTTTTGCTAGTTACTACAGTACTGCCCTTTTGTCTTTTGTTTGTTGCAAGTAAACCATGTATTTGTTTGTATGCGAGATTTCTTTTCTAATTGAATGCAAGTCTGCATGACTTGAATTGTTATCTAGGAGCAAAGCAGCCAGACGGTACTTTTTAGCTATATCAGTCACCAGACTGGATTATTACAACAATTCACAAATTCATTACCATAATGTTTGGTACAAAAAATCATTGCTTAGGGGGAATCCTGCTCATTCTGTTCTGTTGTTTATTAGGGATTTGCATATTTGGACTGGAGTGAAATGTCTTGTCAACTATGTGGTGTGGTCCAAAATATTTTTCTGCCCTGAAAACACATCACTGAGTTATTTCTGCTCACAACTTATTAGGACCTGCAGCCATGTGTTGTTCTAAGAGAAAAGCCTCCCTTTACAAAATGTTATGACTCATAAGACACTGGCATCAAACACTTAGCCAGAAGAAAGCTGGTTCTATCTGGCAAAAGGGGAAAACGAATGCATTTGGTAACAGTGGTGAACATCAGTAGGACGATTGGTTGATGGAAGGCTAGTTTGGTTTCTGGGATCACGTCTGCTATGCAGGCTAATGTCAAAGAAATGCAGAATATCTCAAACAACAGGAAATTGGATTTATGTTGACTGAGCAAGTTAGTGGTGAGCTGGTGAACCATATCTTGCTGCCTATCTGTAACCAAATCCTTCCTGGAAATACTATTTACCTTATATAACCTGCGACTTTAAGGCAAAGTGATTGAAGATTAATTGAACTAATAATGCTGGTAGAGAAAACCACTGACCGGCATATGACAGTATGGTAAATACTCTGCTTTAAATGTGGGTCACTGGAACTAACTGCCAGTCACAAAGCAATGGTAAAGAGGGAATTGTTGCATATGAGCCCTAGAAGGCAGCATGGTACTACTCAAATTTGGGCTGCCAGTGATGTTTTTTGCTTTTTGCACCCCCCTGCAAACCCCAGTAGTCTTGCAGTGGCACCATTTCTCACACGTCATTGTTATGCTCTCCTGGCTATTGTTTCTATCTTAGATTATTAAGTAATTAAGAATTAAACCCATGTCAGTCTCCACTTTATATTGTACCTTATGAGCCAGGTAATAACCCTAAAGGCCATCAGCAACACATCTGCGTGTTGTGAAAAGTAAATGGCTTGATGCTCTCAGCTAAGTCACTGACATTTTATTTGACATGTTATGTCAAAACAATTCAGTTATGATTCTCATCATATCAGTCTTGCCAGTAAGTGATATGGGTCCACAACGAATGCTAATCTAAATTTACATAAATAAGGGTACAGCTTGTCATATCATCCAAGAACAGAGGAGGCAGTAATTTGTGTGAAATAGTTGTAGTTTATGAGTTTTACGTTCCAACAGAAGTGGTTTGAAGTCTTTCAAATCCTTCACTTGATCTGGGAGCTTAACTGGCAAATGTCCTGTCATAAGCCTGCTTCCTTAGCCTTCAGGCATTCACCACTCCTGTCTCTTTCTAGAGCAACTGAAGTGGCCTCTCTCCCTACTGGCACAAAGGCCACAGTGAATTGTCCTGTTTCCTTTGGGGCCAGTTTAATATATGCCACAGACACACATGACCATTTTTATTGGCTGTTTACACACGACTGGTAGCGCGCTGACACACTAGGGTGTGTTGAGGCCACCTCATTATCTCAGCAGACATTTACTTTGCTGTCATCCAGTATCAAAGCACGGCCCTGTCTGAGATGGCCGCACAGCTAATCAATTGCTGTTCATCCCAACACTGCGCCAAAGGCTGTGCTCACAGGCTGTCCCCCTCCCCCTAAAAAACCCTGCTGCTCATTATTGTGACAGCTGATAAGAGGGAGATGGAGTGAGAGCGAGAGGGGACAAACAGACACAATCCTTTCTGTTGCCTGTATAATTTAGAAAAGGTTATGGAATCAATGTCTGGCTGTCTCCAGCTCCAGATCAAGGTTCTTGGCTTTGCACAGACATTCCAATAAGATCTGATTATGGCCACTGCATTTGCAATTAAAAATCAGATGACAGCCTTCGCTGCCCAGTATGCTGCTTGGGACAGTTAGAATACAGCAGCACGCTGTCCACTGGCGTCCTTCTCAAAACAAATTGGGCTCGTTCAACTTTTAACCTCCTAGGACCTGGCGTCCCAATATGTGGACATCACATTTTGGGTTGTCTAAACCAAAATACTAATTTTTGCTCTACATGGGCCTGATATCCACTTACGAGGACGTTATACTGCCACTGTTCTTTCAAAATTTTAAATGAATGCCCTCTTATGTTGATCTCTTTTTTCTCAGAAACAAAAATCAGGTAAAAAAAAAAAAATCAGATAATTCTTTGTTTTTACATTCATCAGGTCCCAATCAGCCCAAATAGCAGAGAGAAATTAAAAATGCATGCCATGACAAAGTTTGGGTCTTAGGAGGGTTAAAAACAGTTTGACATAATAAGTGTATTATGTGTTCTTGCTTTCAGTCAGTGAACTGATTTAAAATGTATGCCACTCTCACATCTGTGTATACTGTTGTGGAAGTTTTCCATTAAATAAAGCCTGCAGACGAGCGGTGAGCGGTAGCTAACATTCTTTAATCAAACACACAAAGAACAGACAACCAAGCTTGATGAAGTCCCTGCATAACCGCGGGACAGACGGTCAGCAGAGTCTGAGTCCAGCATGGCTCTCAGTTAAATACCTTCTCCAGGAACAAAAGGCAGCACACAGCTGTTTCACACCTTAAGGTTCACACTCCCTTGCTGCCTCCCAGAGTCCTCGAAGAGACAAAAGACTCTTCCTGTGGAGTTGTCTGCTTCCCCCAACTTCCTTACTACACCCCCACCATCTGTCTTACTGTATGAGTGTGAGACATGTTAAAATCCAGTGGCACCAAGGTATCATACAATAAAATAATGTGATTAATACATAAGTAAAATAAATTCCTATACAATACCTATAAAGTTAAATGTGAAACTGACATAAGGAAAATACATAGCACTAAGCAAATCCAGAAACAACACTTCTGAGGGATTCAGTTTCTGAAAAACAAAACAAAACAAAACAAAACTCTCTAGACTTCTGGGCTACACATCAAATCCGACTTTTTTGACCCTATGCGACCCAAATCCAATCATGGTGTGACAGTGTGAACGGCACAAATCCGACCTGGGTCACTTTCATATGTGGTACTGAATCCGACACATATCTGATGTTTCAGAAAGCGACTGCTGTTTGATGGTCACGTCGCATTAAATCCGTCTTTTACGTCACTGACACGAGACAGACGCCAATTATCAGCGCCGGAGAAGACATGGTGAACGCTTCCTGACCATCCCGTGTAGATGTCAGTGAAACTGCTGGGAAGACAACGTTGGAGAAACGTGAACATTTTATTTGTTCTGTATAATCTGCAGATTCTGACAGAAATCTGCAGCTATCCTTTGAAGCAGCGCTCCTCTAAAACAGCAAAAAGGATCATTATTAGGCCAAATGTAAATAACAAAATAACTTTAACTTAAAGCGAAATTGGGAAACGAAAAGTCCGAAACAAGTCTTTATATCAAGGCCATCAGTCACACAATACTGTTGGTCTGGGTCTAAACAGAGCGCGTTGTGTGTGACGTCTTCTTTTGCGCATGCGCCGCTTTGAGCGTTCACACTAGAGCTATGCTTCTCTCCTCTCTCTCCAGCTACCACCTGTAAACTCTAGACACCAAGGTGTTCTAGACCCAAGACCAACAGTCTGTGACCTGGGTTTGCCCTTGGTTCTCCTCCCAGCAGGATATGCCAGGACACCTAGTCTGATACCTGAACCAACTTAGCTGTCTCCTTTTCAATGTGAAAAAGCAGCAGTTCTACTATGAGCAACTCTTGTATGTCATCCTTGGATTCTTCATCTCTACGGTTTAAACCTCAGGCATAGGAATCCCCTATCTCTAAGGTTTAGGAATCCCCTTCAGTCTCAGTCTTCAGACTGAAGAAGCCACTTGGTTGAGTGAAGAAACGTTTCTCCCACTGGAAACGCTACGTACAGACAAACATACATTTTTGTGATTTCCCTACCTTAATTAATAAACATGCATCAAGACACTCTGGAGGAAGTTTATCGCTGTCACTTGTATCTGTGATCTTACTTTTTTGATAACTGCCCACATCTTGTTGCCATATGATGTAGGGACATAGTTCAAAAGCTTTGTCTGTGTCTGTGATTCCAAAATACTAGAGCTCCTCTAACCTGAAATGAGCACTCCACCCTTTCAATACTGAGAACCTCTCATAGTGAGGTTGTAAACCACCTCCATCCTGGAAGTCACTGGTGGTCACTGCCCAAGAAGCTCATACCTTTCCAAAAACGGTAAGGATAATTCTGAGAATACCAAATTGACAGGTGTAGCCGATATCCCTGTGTTGCTGTTGTTCCTGCATCATAATGATAATGTTTGTAATTGAACCAGTTACACTGTTGTGATGTGATAGCATTGCAGTGTGAAGAGAACAACTGTTTATATAAAAGTCTGTACAGGAACAAGTGGTAAGCATGTCAGCTGCTTACTTTATTATTTGATATCATTTACTCATGTTGGTTTGCTCATGATCATTTTTAAAAGCATTAGCTCACTTCTTGGCTAATGCTAACTGCTCAGACAGCATCACTGGTCAGTTGATGATCCTGGACCAAAATTATTATGAGGATGTAGGAACAACACTAACACAGGGATGTGAGATTGTGAACTTGGATACCCTTCAGTCCTTGGATTCACCTGGAAATCCTGCTTATTAAAGTAATGAATGGAGATGATGACAAAGACCATCCCTGGAAAAATACATCTCCCCATGGGCACAATTCCGACTCTTTATCAGCAGTGCAAACTAAATTATTTCTACAGGAACTGAAAAAGCTGTAACAACAGGCCATAGAACTTCTCCAAATCAACAAAGCACACTGGGTAATTTCTCATGGACCCCAAAGTATCATTAACAGGCTAAAGAGCTGGTCCAGTGTTGCAAACCTTATTTTGGGATAAAGTTACCTGCAGAGTTTTAACATGTGTTTAATATTATTTGACCTGTGATTCTATATAATAATGTCCAGATGACTACAGAAATTAACATTGTGACTCTCTTCCGATTCATTTGGATAAGGGCTTGGTCTTGTAGCCTGGAATAATTTATTTCTAGAAGGACTTTGACTGAGCTCAGACCCAGTTAGCATAGCTTAGTAAGAAAATTAAAACCAACCTGACTCTGTTAGAAGTTAATGAAACCTACCTCTACACTGTGAAGCTTATAGTTTGAACTATATGATCAAATAAGTTTCAAAATCCTTATTAATAATCTGGAGAAGTGCTGCCAGGAGGAGTTTGTTACATTTTGACAGAATTGGGCTACAACTTTCTTCCATTGTTGTACTTCTAAGTGAAACTAACCCAGCAAGAAGGTAAACAAGTGTTTTTCTCAAAATGTTAAACCTTTCTCTTAAATTCTGAAAAGGGCCACAAAAACTGTTTAAAATGAAAGCATGGCGTTCTAACACTTGTGATATTCTGTTTGAACTTAGCTAAAAGAAAAAAAATGTGACAAGTTTGCTTGTAGATTATGGCTTTGGAAACCCCCCACAAATGACACTGCAGACAGATAAGACTGTTCATTTCTGTTTGTGGCTGCCTCTTCTCTTTCCTGGCTTTGCTCTTGGCTACATGAATAAAAGCAACACAAGCACATGTGCTCCGATCTGTCTCAACACAGTGAAGGCTCAAGGGCAGATACGAGAGGTGAGATGAAATTAGGACTGCTGCTGTTTATTTCCAAGATTAAAAACAGAGCACAAAGGCCTTTTGGCTGAAATATCACATTGTATATGATAGTTACAGTTTTGCTTTGAATGTGGAAGTGATATTCTCTCTTATATTTCCTTTTAGTGCTGTGGGCAGATATCACCGTCGACAAACTCCTGCTTGAAGATGTGCCATTTATCTGTCTTGTGCTCTAAACAAAGCAGCCTGTGAAGGATAATCTTTTATTCTGCTGCAGACTCAGCAAAGGTTTAACAGAAGGCAACAAGACCAAGTTTCCTCAAACAAGTGCAAACTTTTCAGCCTGTTTAAACTGAAGTTATGGCCTTCTCATGGACTTGGGACATATTTTAGTTTACCACGAGCATGTAGGCAAGCATAAACAGCTATCAATACTTTAGTGTAAAGTATTATATGTGGTATATTCCTACTGAATTTTGAAAGTATTCAGAACCTTGAGTTTCAATTGCACATTTCAGTCAATTAGCAGCCTTGGATATCTTTGTACGTACCTTTTAATATTTAAACTTGGTGTCTCTGCAGATTTTGGGTATATACTACTCCTATCCAAAAAATCATTACAGTAAGTATTTTCAGCTCAGCTCAGTTTATTCATTTATTTATTTTTTCGGTCTAAAGATTTTCGTAGCACTTTCTATTACAGCTCATTAATAAAGTGGTAATAGTAGCGAGGCAGAAATGAAACCCCCCCCCCCCCCCCCACTTTGTATCTGACCTTTCCATGTGCGTGAAAGTGCTGCGAGGACCTAAAACAAAAGAAATATAAGATATTAAAAATGTCCTTTTAGATATAGTGGTCACTGAACTAATATTGTTTAAACTATTACACCTGTCTGAGATTTGCTGGATTTTAAGGAAAGACTGTTTTTGTTCTTTCTTGGAATGAAAGAAATCTCAGAAATCACCAGAAGAAATTCCACAATATTATATTTTCTTTAAAACACTTTTTTTTTTCAATTTGTCATAATACGTTATTGAATCACATGACCAAACATGGTATTGATTGTTACATGGTATGTCATTTGTATATGATCCCAGTTGGATATATTGTTGGATATATACAGTATATTGTAGCTGAACAATCCCTCCCTACAGTAATTAGTAACATACTGACAACCACCAATAATCCCACTGCTTTTACATTTCTAGTGCTAAACATGACATTTTATGAGCTACGTTTCTGTACCATCAGGGATTAACACAGGATGGATGGCTGTCAACCAGGATGCATGAGACTAGAATAAGGTGCAGACATACATTACTTTGCACAGCTTTGTTTAGTTGTTTACAGTCAGTCATCACTTCACCATAAAAAATAAACACAAACACTTCAAATGAAGGACTGTTAGTCATTTATGCAAATAATAAATAAATAAATC